GTACTTGCAGTATTGGAGCTTGTAAAAGGGAGCAAGTTGTTTCTGGTATAAGCCCCAAAATGTTCGATAAAATTGGTTCAAAATTCGTCGCTTCGATGTGATAGATGCTCCAACGTATGGAAATAATAATTATTTATAGCATTGGTTGCAAGTATAATGATATTGTAGTCATTGAGTTGCTCTAAGTGAACCAATGTTCGGCCACTTAGATCTGTAATGCACTCTGGTTCTGCTATATGTTTGAATTGGACCAATTCACTTATTGATTGGAGATTATGATGTGCTGATATGATCAGACGTGCCTTTTCTCTTCGAGTATTAAAAGCGGTAGCTGTGTCAAAAAGATCTTGAAAGTTCTTATCACTTTGGATATTATGAGCGTACCGGAGTTTTTTCCATAACAACCTGAGGTGCTATCATATGTGCTTTCTTTTAATAGACCATCCTGCCCCTTTAAGCCTAGCCACTGGCTGAAAGCAACCCACAATTGCTTATTAGTGGTATTAGGTGATGATCTCTCAATGCTGACATCAGTCTCTCTAATAATGTCAGTATAGATCAGAAAGAGAAAGTTTGACAGAATCTCGGGCAACTTAAAAGAGTTACTGTCGAAGGATTTTGCTTCTCTAATTAGAGTTTCAATTAGCAATTCTCTGGCCGATATGTCATACTGAGTCTTATTTTTTTTGGTTGATACCCGATCTGAAGAGCAGAGGGAATACTTGTCCACTCCCTCTCCAAATAATAAATATTATTATTAGCAGATATTTTTCGGGTGGCAGATTGGATTCGATGCTGAGATGGATCAAAGACAATATCATCGATTAGCAAAGAGATGTCAACATCCAACTCGTGAAGCATCTTGGCTTGTTTCTGATCACGCCTAAGTTTTTTGTTTTTGCGTGTACGGGCCTGTCTTGACAATTTGGTTTCAGTAGGCCGTGCATTTTGTGTTACAACATTCTCCCTTTTTACTTATTAGTTGATGCTTGCATTATGACTTTCAAAAAAAAGAAAATATGTTATTAGTATAAATTCGATTTAATAGATTCTCGCACTAAAAAAAGAGAGGACTTATATCTTTTTTTTTGTATATGATTCAATCTACGGTAATTTGTGAGTTACTATACTTTGCA